CCGCGCCGGCAGCCGCCGCGTCCGCTCACCCCTCGATGTAACTCTTGTCCGCCAGGTAATCATTGAGCACCTGGAGGCCCGCGGGGCTCTTGAGGTCTCCGAAGCCCATAGCGGCGGCCGTATCCGGGAGCTGAGTAGCGGCTAAGGGAAGGAGCACAAGCCCGCGCCCGGCGTCCACACACTGGGGGTGGAAAAAAAAAAAGGGTTCAAGCCGGCCGGAAAATTCCTTATATAGAGACGGAGGCGTTTCCCGCGCCGTGCCGGCGGGAGGTTAAAGGTCAAGGAGCGTCACTACTTCCTTCCAGTAAAAATTGGGAGTTCGGGACTCCGTGACCCACAAACCGTCCGCAACCGCCCTCGCCGTCCGTCCAGAAGTAAACTCATAAAAAGCGGCATGTCTTTAAAACAAGAATTCGTGTCTCCGGGATTCCGAAAAGTTAAAGGGTCCCGCCCCTTCCAAGTGCCGGAGATGACCGAAGACGCTCGGCCGCCAGGTCTCAGCCACTTCCGGCGGAACTGCGGGTCCTAGACTTCCTCCTCGCCGTCTCCCCGCCCACTTTCCCTCGGACTGACTGAAGTTGTCGACTCGCCGAGCCTGGAGTTTCTGGTCCCTTTTGGCTTTCCGTTCCGCCGGCCTCCGGCTGACGGAAGAAGCCGAGGCCGCCATATTGAATAAGTGGCCGGGTGTTTGAGAGGGGTCAACGTGAGCCCAAAGCGTCTTCCGAGCAGCCTCGACTCCTCCGGGGAGAAGGTGAGGTCGTATCTAGGCGGAAAGGTTGAGGTGCCTCGGCTTAGGGTTCTCTTTCTTAGTTGGGCCGTTTTCTTCGGGCCCGCGCGACTCATTTGCCCTTGACGGGGCCCCGCCTCCCGCCCCTCCGGCCCCTCGGCCGGGAGTGCGGGCCGCCGGGGGCCTCAGCCTCGGCCGGGTGTGGGGGAGCAGGCTTCCTCCTGTCCGCCTGGGGGAGGCAGGATGGCCTGTGAGGAGGAGCATCGTCACCTTCGGCTTGACCCCTGAGCGCTTCCAGATCTCTACCTGCTGCTCCTAGAATAAGGCATCTTAGTTGCTATCCCTGTGGCCATCGCCCAGACCTCTTATTTGGTCCCTTTTGCTCATTTCATTGACCAGAAAACCGAAAAAAAAAAAAGACATTTGAAAAGTTTGCCCAAAGTTCCCACCACGCATCGTACAGCTACGTTGTTTACAGGTTCTAGAGATCCAGTTCATGTGCAATAAGATCATGCATCACACATAACCGTTCACGCACGAATTCAGAGTATGAAAAAGATGAGACGTCCGTTTCTGGTGAATATACATCAAGTTTCTCTTGCCCTCCCCCATGTTCTCCCCCTCTCCCCCCTATTGATTTGTGTATCATTAAAAGGTGCAGGAGCACCTGCCAGCTTTTAATTCCGGGGATTACGGAAAGGATTGGGTATGTAATTGATTTAGCAATTAGTTATTGAGCTTGTACTAGAATCCCAAAAAGCATAAAGAAGGATAAAATTGAATAATATGACTGGGAAGTAGGAAATCTTTGTTAAGGAAAGAGTGAAGAAAAGGTTTTCAGTCAAGATTTGAAGGACAGAGAGAGGCCAAGAAGGAAGAACCTTTCAGCCTGAGTGGCTGAGTGGAGGAGAACTGGTGTAGAAGCTGTGGAAGGGAGGAAACGGTTAGAGTCCAGGCAGGAGGTGATGGTGACTTGGACTTGGGTGGTATCTACTTCAAGGTAATTAATTTGAAGGAAAGATGTATGGTGTAGAACATGGGTGGGCATACTCTAGCATGGAAAAAGGTTGTCTAGTTTTATAAGTGGTTATTAACATTTTCCATCTAATAAAGATACAGTTGTTCTCTAGGTCTGCAGGTGTCACAACCTTAGATTCAGAATGAATTTCAGATAAAAAATACTACAGAAAAAAAATTAAAACTTTCTCAAAAGCAGAACCTGAATTTGCTGCACACCAAGCACAAAGCTGAACACAGTAGGATGAAATGAATTGTAGGTATACCCCTGCTATATATATATATCCTCCTGCCATTGCGTGATCCTTATTCTCTCTCCAATAGTCCTTTAAGCGTTGTTCACCTCCAGTTATATTCACTTGTTCACATACCCTAGTTAGGTCTCTGATGAGACAGCTCTTTAGCGTTGCAAATCGATTTTTTATGTTGGAGCTAAGTAGTTCCATTTCATACTGTATGTTGAACAAATAACCTAAATATGTTGGTTGTCTAACGTGAGCACTACTTCTATATTGTATTAGAGGCAGGAATAATAAAGTTTTTCTGTTTTTTTTTTTTTTTTGGTTGGTCGTCAGGCTTGAACTCTGGGCTTGGGCACTGTGTGCTCTTCAGCTCAAGGTGAGTGCTCTACCGCTTGAGCCACAGTACAACTTCTGGTTTTCTAGTGGTTTATCAGAGATAAGAGTCTCACGGACTTTCCTGCTGGGGCTGGCTTTGAACCACGATCCTCAGATCTAAATTAGTCTAAAATGCTGGTTGTTGATTTATTAATTTAGGGGCGCTGAGTTTTGACCTTCATGCCTTGTACATGCTAGACAGGCATTCCACCACTGAGCGGCATCCTCAGCCCATCAATTGTTGATTTTGAATCTCTTCCTTCTTTCAGGAATTCAGCTATTTTATTGTATAACATCAGTTTTTTGTTTGTTTGTTTGTGAGACAAGTGCTTACTATCTTCCCCAAGTTGGCCTAAAACACAAAATCTTATTGCTCTACCTTCAGAGTACTAGGATTTAGTCAAGTGCTGACTATATTATAGTATTTTTAAGTTTTCTTACGATTATAAAACAACCCTTCCCAATTCATTGCATTAAAAGCACATTAGGTACTGCTTCTTAGCTGATGATATAGCACAGGTTAATGTCTCTGACTGAGTATTCTCAATTACTGAATTTGAGGGAAAATATTAGAATATGGAAATGTTCAATGTCAATATATTTGAAGTACTATAAAACCCCATATAACTAAACAACCCCAAAACAAAACTACCAAAAGGTTTGTAATAAGGTGGAGGTTTTCTTACAATAATATGACTCTTCTTTGTTTTATTTTTAGCAATATGTTACGGATACCGGTCAGAAGGGCCTTAGTGGGCCTTTCCAATTCTCCGAAAGGATATGGTAAGTTTGTTTTTTAACATGAATAATTACTAGACTTTATCTTTGAAAATTTCTAGGTCCATGGAATATTTCTTCACAAATTCTAAACCTATAAGTTATCAGAATAATTTTCAAAATAAAACTTTACCTTAGTTACAAAAATCTGTATAGATGTGTATCAATACCAATGCTCATTTTGTTTTGAAAAGTGGTATTAAAAGTCTCAGTTTATACTACTTTTATTCTCAGTTTTAATAACCATATTCTAATACTCAAGACTGAAAATGCTTTTTTCATAATTCAATACTTTTAAAGTATGCATCTAGAGAAAGAGTATAAGCTGAAGAAAATTCTATATATAGTTATTTTACTAATCTCTGCTCTAAGAAGTCCGGCTTTATTAATTTGTTTTGTACTTCTTTACTTCTAGGGTCAGTTCGAACAACTGCAACAGCAGCAAGCAACTTGATTGAAGTATTTGTTGATGGTCAGTCTGTGATGGTAGAACCTGGAACTACTGTCCTTCAAGTAAGCACATGTTTTAATTATTTTTGTGAGTAAATGTGTTCTTTTCTGATTTAAAAAAAAAATTCTTTACACCTTTCTTTTTTTTTTTTTTTTGGTCCAGTCGTGGGGCCTGAACTCTGGGCCTGGGCGCTGTCCCTCAGCTCTTCAGCTCAAGGCTAGCGCTCTACCACTTGAGCCACAGCACCACTT